TGCGTAAAAATTGCATTATGTACCTCAGATTGTCAGCTTCCTCTTCTCAAAGTGCTCCACCAGAAGTTTGGCTTCACACGGTGCTTGGAAAGTTGATAAATCCCAGTTCTGGTTAAACAAGCCAAGAAGCAAGTTCCAAAGACCTTGCTGTCAAACCAACTGATCTCAACCATGGCAGGATCATGAGGGGAGAGAGTTGGTGTCTTGGGGAACAAGATCCCAAGACATTTAGGTCTTCCTAGGGCAATTGAATTCCTCCCAGAAACTGATCAATAAAGCCAAAGCACAACCGAAGCAAGTCCAGAAACAAAAGAAAACCAAAAACCCCAACATGTCCAAATCAGTGTGTCCCAGTGTCACTTAACACTACTCTTTTGGCAGGATAAAGTGGAGGCACTGTCATTAGTCTGGAGAAGCTACGTCATTTTTTAAAAATCTTGATTGAATCTACAGTTAATTCAGAACTAATACCTTTTAAACTAGTTTTAATCCAAGAGCAAATGAAACTATTACTTCAGAGAGATGTCACCAGGGAGAAGTTACTGCCTCATCGAGAATGCATGTGAGAGTGACACTGATAAGAATTACTGCCTCTGACACAAGGATTTCAGCAAGGACACTGGTCCAGTCTTGTTTGCCGTTGCACATGTGCCGTCAGTTCATATGCACAGAGATCAGTCCTTTGCTCTTTGCCATCAGCTGAAGTGGTGCCCGCTGAAGTAATAAGATCCTAATGCTGTTATAATGTCCGTGTACAACAGTGTTACCGAATTCCAGAGAGACAGAGAAAACTCAATTAATATTTTTTAGCTTTTTGGATTTCTTTTTCAGCATTGACCTATGATGGCCACAGAAGAGGCATAAAAAAATCTCTCTGTAATTTATACTTCTATGAACTGTCATGTGTACTAAAACAAGTGCCAATGGAGTCAACTGCAGGAAATCTTTATTATTTTCTTAGAAACTCTTTAAAATGTAAACATCCTGTTGATACCAATCTCAGATTCTTCTGATGTTTACTTAGCAGCTGCCGTCATTGTGCAGTGTCTGAATACACATACCATATTACATGGTACACAACTGGCAGAGCCGTATTCTGGCTCGTGTTTTATTTTACAGAAGCAAAGTCTGAAAATAGTTCTGAACAATTGAATTGTAAAACGACTTACAAGAGGTCTGCTGTTACTTCAAACTGTTTGAAATTGCCAACCTATCTAAAACACACTGTTGAAATCGCAAAGGTAACGCACATCCCCTTTACTCTGCCCCCATAGTCAGATCTGATGGCAGAAGAGTTAAAAAACACAAATATTGAAAACTTCAAGCACAGCTGAAAAATAGAACCTTCCATTTATTGTTTTGTAAATCTGATTATTTTTAAGCTAGTTGCATTATTTTGGGGACCTGACTCACCATTTCTGAATGCTTAGGTTGGCAACAGTATTTCATTGCTGGTTCAGTGGTTGTGCTGACTCAGGATGTCTTTACAGCCATGCACAGTCCACAGGAAAATATGTACTTTACAGATCCATGCAAATCATATACTGCACGCCAGTGTTTCCTATTGTTAATGAAGATTCCATGTGCCTCTGGTTACACATGGCTCATTAATTATGTCTGCCTATGTGCTGCGGTAGCAAAGCTACCGATGTTAAAATGAAGATGAGAACGTTTGAGTTCTGAATACTTTGGTATAAATATGTCTAAAACGAATATCCCGTAATATATTAGGAAAACAGGTAACATCCTAACGTCAATCCTGTGTCTGTGTGTGGTGTTGGCAAAGGCAAAGAACAGAGATTTTGTCATTCAGAGGGAAACCCAGCAGTGCCACAAATGATGATGAAGTACTGTCAGTTTTCATAGGCTCTTTACTCTATCACTGAAAATTTCCACTTTAAATACAATCCTACTGTTAGACCTTATAGAATAATCTATTCATAGGAAAGCATTTTGAAGACAATTCTGAATGCTGTTGGCATCTTCTAATTAAGAAACAGTTATGCTTAAGTTGTGGATTTGCAGACATACACACATCGGCACACAAAACACGCACGCCAACATCGGTGCAAAAAATAAGGGAGCAGAGGTTCTAGACCAATTTTAAAAAGTGGAGAATTCCATGGGAAAGAAGTGTTGGAATTGCAACTCAGGTGGGATGAAGAGATAAGACTATAGTTTGAACTTGCAGGGTGAGAAATTGAGACTAGAATGAGAACCAGAAGTAGTAAAAATTGGAAACGATATGGTAAGGAGGCTAAAACAATGAGATAGCAATGAGTAGACTGAGACCAGAAAGGTTGGATGGGAAAGACAGAAGTCACACATGGGAAGACTGGAAGACTGGACAAGGCCTGTAGCTAGTAAATATACTGGCCATTTTTGCTAAGTGGAACCTTAGTTTCTGAAGTCTTAAAGCTCCTGTTCACAGCAGGTACCTTGGGCGATGCCTTAAATCAGGAGCAGCACAATAAAGGAGAATTTAAGAACAAAATAGTAGGTTGTGAGATCCTGATGTAGGCATTTTAGAGGATTATTATTTTAACCAACAGTTGCCTGTTCCCATGGATTGAATGCTCATTAGTGAATGGAGCTCAAACTGGATCCTGATGAGCATCCTTTGACTTAGTTTCTCCTGAAAGAATAATGTTATGCACACTGGAAAATGAGCTCCTAAACGTTGAACACTGTACATTCAAATTAATGTATGTAATCTGACATTAATCTCTGTGGTCTTCATCAGCAGAATGGAGATAAAAATGGCCAGTAAGGCATTGCAGAAATAAATTAACAAATGTGAGCATGCAAAAACCGTCATGCTGCATGCTGGAGGAATGAACATAAGAAAATAAATTCTGCCTGTAAACCATGAAATATGCGGTAAATAAATACTGAGACCACACACAGAATTTATAAAGAAATATACTATCAAATAGCAGCTCATCAGCTGAATGTCATCCTGTCAGTGGATTGATTGAGTCAAGGATCCTTTGGATCATACAGTAAAAGATTAAACCATAATGCAAATATACTAGAGGCAAGCTAAGAATGCACATAAATCTTTTGTTTAAGCATTTCCAAATCTGTGAGTTCTCAAGGTTACAACCCTATCTGGAGAACAGCCCATTTCTCTGTTCACATAGACTAAGCCAAGTACTTTATCCACCTATGTAAGTGTAAATGACTTTTCATCTTTTTTTCTAAATAATCATGTGATGAGATTCTAGGAGTCCTCCATCAAAATGCCTGATGGTTTCGAGGAGAACTCCAATAAACTGGAATTGCTCCATGGCTTTTCTTGTCAGTTTCTTATTCTTTAATTTTGTATCTGCTGGTAACGGAGTCCAGAGTTGAACATGACTTGGTCAGATGTTTGGCTTACAGAAAATTTGAATGCAGCTGGCCATTTCACATTGGCTTTTCTGAAGAATTTTTGCCAATGTGACGTCCTGTGATTTATGAATAGTCACCTCTGAAAGCAAGATCAAAGTAGAATTTCTGCTAAAACAAGTGACATACCTTGTTTTCAGCAATTACTTAGTGACAAAACCAGTGATGTTTGCTGACAAGGGATGGTTTATGTTTTATGCACGTATACTTGGAAGCATAACTTGGGTTAGTGTCTATGTAACCGAGATATTCTATTTTGGATAGTCAGTAGTAATGTCTGAGATTTGGGCAGGCTTCAATAAGAGAAAAGCAAGACAAAAACTTGTAACATTTTGTGAAATGCAGTCTGGGCTCTTAGCCCACCTCTACCCCAGTGGGCCAGTAGGGTGCATTTGCTTCTATTTCACGTGGCTACAAAAATAATGGAACTGAAGATTTCTGTGATTAAAGGAAAATGTCTTGTCCTTTAATTTATGTTAGTGTTGCTCAATTATTCACTGAAGTACTGAAATGAAATGTGAAACAAATGAGTGTAGTGGGACTGCACCAAGCTGTGTGTGTGATGGGTTGAACAATCAACATCCTTCTGGTACCTGCAGTCAAGCGTTTTAGTATAAAGAATCCTCATCATTAATCTTGTTCTTGTATAGGTTTGAATGAGTAGGATGTTACTCACTCCTGGACAACCACTCTCCCTTGATTTACTTTATCGAAATCGAAAATACAGCGATAGCATACAAAGCTGAGGGGGAAAATGATGACTTGTTGTTAACCAAATTTATTGGAGTAAGTTCAAAACAAAATGGTATTTGATGGGATTATAGCTCCACATTCTTTCATGAAAGAAAATGGCTCATCAATCTGAAGGAACCTGTCTGTCCTTTACACAGTGCAGTATTTTAGAAAGATAAAATGCTCCAAGCAAAAAAGTCTTGCTTCTGAGAGTGACCCAGATGATCTCTAGAGGTCCTTTCCTATCCAGACCCTTCTATGGCTGTGATAGTTGCCATTACTGTGACGTGACTGAGTGGTTCACCTCTAGTTTTTGTCTAGCACTGACACTAAGAAAACTTGTTCCACCACCTAATTCCCTAATCAGGCAGATGTTTTGAGACCACATCTGACATGCCAATAAGAACGAGCTACACAGATGTGAAGGAACCTCTTGCTTTCCCTTTGTTCATACTCAGAAAGAAAGAAATAAACATGGTTAGTCCACTCAGCTGGGATATGGCCTCAATTTTCTTATATAACTAAGAAGTTAGAAGGCTATTATAGAAAACAAATAGCAAATAGCTAGTGAAAATACAATAGCATATCTGTGGAGAGGTGAAGGTGATGAACAAGAAGATACTTAGTCCATGGTAACAAGTTTCTCAGAACAGCCGGACCTTTGTCAGCAGATCTCTCTGTTTTTGGAAGCCCATTTAATTGACTCGACTGTAATTGTAGACTTGAAAATAAGCAAGAGTTACCAATCTGCTATTTCTCACTGTATGTGTTGGGTTGTGAAGTGTCACTTCTTTCCAAATAATTCACTGCTCTTTGCTTGGGTATTTGTTGCTTCATCAGCAACTTTAATTAATGGCTTGATATGCTTTGATTTCTAGCTGATTTTTTACTATGGAACTGGAGACAGCTGGTGTCCACAGAACTACTACGATGAGATCAAAATGGATTTTCCAGATGGGGACATTCGACTTTGTGAGAAAGGGCTCCGCCATGCGTTCGTGCTGGATGCCAGCAAGGAGATGGCTGCCATGATTACGGACTGGTTACGGGATGATCTGACCAAATTATAAACAACGATTCAGTGATTAACAAGAAAACGATGTAATTATTTTGTGAACGTGTAATTTTTTGTGAGAGAGTCTGTCCTATCTTTTTTTTTTTTTTTCTGTTTACTACAGATTATGGCTTGTTTTCTACTGAGAAGTTTTAGAGAAAGTTAAAGAGAGACTGGCTGGTCCAAAATATAGTTTTATCGATTTAATGGTGATGTACTTTGATCCTGTGTCTTCAGCACTCTGAAAGACTTGGAAAAGTGTGGGATATTTATTGTCTCCTAGCACTCTAGACAACACTGATACTAGATTGACTGACTAGAAGTGCAGCTGAGTTACTGCCACCTCAGCTGCTTGCTGAAGAGACATCAGGGCTGGATTTAGGGCAGCCCGGTTGGTCTGGTTTAAAAAGAAATATCATGCTACTCCATATGGATAAAAATTCCCCTGTGGGAACTGATCCTGGTGTGCTCTGAAACCTCTGACCCTCTCCACCCATTTCATCTCTGTGTATCCCTGGCACAGTAGTGAGTGCAAGAGTAATAGACAGCCAGAACAGCCCAGGGCCCAGCATTATCTCCTTCGGGTGGGATAGGGCTGTTGGCTTCAGAGATCAGGCTGAGGTCAGGCTTTTTATGAGGGAGATGTGAAGATGAGGTGAAGACAAGATCCTCCAAATCTCAGATGGGGCTCAGAGTGCTGCCAGAACTCCACGGTGTGTTAAATATAACGTAAGGTAAGTGTGGCCTCTCAGCTGGGGAATATATTTGGAGCCTTTGGTTCAAATTTTCTGATTGTAAAGAAAGTAAAGGAGCCTTGTCACAGGTGCCAGTGTTACGAGTTTGAAGTGGATTCAGAATCCATGTGTAACTACTTGTAAGTGTCCTAGCTCTCTGAGCTGTCCTTCTCATAATGAAGCCTGTGGGAATGGTGTTTGCTCAGCAACTTTGAAGAATTAAATCACTTTTGATGCATGTCTGAATTTCAGTTCTTTGCTCCAAGGACTGAAGCATGAATTTTTCTGCCAAGCCACGGATTAGATAAGTGAGAAAATGGCTGTTCTGCCATCATTGCACCCATGAAAGTGCATGAAATATTAGTATGTAGGACCAGGTCCCATCTGTATTACACTGATGACAAGTATTCTGTTCCTCACATTTCTTCATCCCTCTCCTTTACAGATAGGGGAAAAAAAAATGCAGAAACATTCTATGAGCTGTGATAATACAAGTTGTGATAATACAAGAGGTTAAAGCCTAATGCTAGAAATGAAAGCAACATAAGTAAGGAGAACAGAGCCAAGTGCAATCAGGAAAGGATTTCTACCTGTGAACCTGTGAAACAGTCCCTGTAGAGTAGAGACATTTATAAAGAGATAAATAAATAGAAACACTATAGAACATAGTGACAGGAAGTCTTGTCCTAGCAACCAAATGAATTTACATGATGCATTAAGTATCTACCTTGCACAAGCAATTAGCAGTATTAATGTGGTACTACTGAGAACGGTGCTAGAGAGCATTCTCTGCTGCTGTAGGACTGAGTGATTAACTCCTTGGTTATCTTACACAATTGTATGCACATCATCCACTTCTCTCTAGATCCCACTTCACTCTTTTACTGTTATTTAGAGCAATGTGTAGAATTCAGTTTCTGGATATTGTGGACCAATTCTCAAACCTGCTGACAGCCAGTGGATTTAAGTGCCCTTTTTTGCAGTTTGCCTTTGGAGACTAGCCAGTGGCTTTTCAGACTACACTGCCACATAACAAAACAGACAGTGATGTTTGGGGCAGAAATGCTGAAACCCCTATCAGATGTGTCCAAAGTGAAGAATCTGTGCCTGTGCAACTGATTCGGGTTAGCAGGGAGCCCTGGGACGTTCCTTCTTTCCTCAGGGCTCTAATCAGTGATGATTGAAACAATTCCTGTGCTCGCTTTGGAAATCCACAGTTCTGTGTGTCTGTGTGTCCGTCTGTCTGGTCTAGCAGCCCCCAGGTGTTGGCATGCAGTTCTGTTGGGCATCCTTCTTACTGACAGATGCAAAGTGCATTGGCTGGCCTGGGCATTCCCTGTAGCAGTGAGGATGTGTGTTTGCATCTATGTGTGTACGTAAACATCTTTGTATACATGTTTATACACACACGTAATGCGCGTGTGTAGGTTAGCAACATAAAGAATGCAATCAGTTTGGTCAGTTTGGTTTACACATTGATACTGTCGGAGAAAACATTTGTTCTTTGCAATGCGTGGAATTGGGAATTGAGCACGGAATCAGTCTGTAAAAATTCAGCTGTTGTAGTGGAGGACAGAAAAAATCTTGCATTAACCAAAGATGACAAGCAGCTATTACAGCCCGGGAACTGAAGTACCTATCAGAGGCAGTTGTTTACAGTGCATTATTCGTATACTTTGTATGAGCAATTAATTTAGCAATACTTGTACTTGTGTGTTCCTTTTATACAAACGTTAATCTGTTATAAATCCTACTGACTGCATTAAGACCTAAACTGAGATGAGACCTGGTCAGCGGTGACCAGATCAACTGCAGGATGATGCCTTACAATTTTCTTAAATGAATTTTCTCTAAGATGATTGAAACCATAGTGATCCAATTGCGTCCTTCCTCCTTGAAGCTGTTACTGTAAGGCAAAGAAAATTTGCTACTCTGTTCATTGCAAAAAAAAAAAAAAAAAAAAAAAAAGCATGGATCTGATTGTCACAGCTGTGTTTCCTAAGAGCAGTAGATCTCACATGATGGGAATCCAGTGGTGTTTGCCATGGCCCGAGGCAAAGAGTGTCAGAAGTGCTTGTGGTCCAAATGCTCCAACTTGCCATGAAAACCCGGTGTAATCTGCCTGTCTTAGACTATTTTAGAATTACTGGGAATCCTATCACAAATGCATTGACCGTATGCAGTAGCATCTGATCTGTGTCGTTCACACTTTTGTGCTTTGTCACCACGTGAGTAAACCTGCTAGCTGCAGTGACTTGGACTCATGCTCGTGTTTTGCTAGATCGATACCTTTTATGATAAGTACACAAATCCAGTAACTAAAATAAAGACATTTGTTGTAAAATGGAATTCAAGTCTTTAATAACTTTATCACCCTCACCTTTAGTGACTTTACCACCCATTTATCACCCTCATTACATTTACAAAAATACAATTTAGAAAAATGTTTGCCTAAGCCCAAATTTCACCTGCCATTTAGATATCTAAACTCACAAGAAGTCTGTGGTAGAAACTTGACACACTGAAGCATTTTTATCCAGAGCCAACTCCAAAACAATCAGCGTTTCCTCTTGCTCCCTCCATTCAATGTTTGCTGCTCCGAGCTATAGTGCCTGCAGGCCACGAAGGGCTGTCCCTCTGGGAGGGTGAGTGCTTTCCCACTGTTTATGGTGTAGAATTTGGAGCTGGACTCCAAGCTCAACATCAGTTTCTTGCTACACAGGAGACACTGCATACATGAGCCGCAGCGATCATCTCTTTTCTGCAGTTAAGTCATGCATGTGTTGGTTTTACAGACCATGTGTTTGTATGTGCACCCACTCCCCTACCCCCCAACCCTGTACTTGGTCTAGCTAATGGCCAGACACATGTTGCTCCATGTCACAGCTCACACTCCCAACCTCAGTACGTTGCTGAGGTTCATTGCTTACAGGTAAACGTTCTCTTTTCTGGCACCTCTACAAAATAAAAATCTTGAGAGCATTTAGAAGTGACCAGGAGCCATATACAAACAGATTTCTGAAACAGCTGAGAGGGTTTATTGCAAGCAAAAGATTGTATCAGAAATACAACCCAGCTGCCAGGAGCAATCATTGCTCGGTAGCATCACACAGAAGTTATGAAACAATACACATGCTCAGATGGCATAGGCAGGAGGACATCTAATTGGAGACTGTTTTCAAGTGCTTATGCTGATAGTAAATGGGCTCGGTTTTTCCTTTCCACGTATTGCAGGAACATGCAGTTGTGTTGTGGTTTCTTAACAGTTTGCAGTAGCTAATGAAACGCAGAGTGTTGTCTAAGGCATCTGACTCATCCTGCAGTGCAGTGTTTGCCAGTCCAATACTGGAGATTTTTGGCCATCCCATTTGAAGCAACCGACATTGGAAGAGGCAGCAGGGGAGTGCCCCTCATTTCCCTTGCTGATGAGTACTTGATCAAACTCACTTTAACACAATCTGTCCCCAGCTCTAAAATACCGTGTTTCATTTATTAGGTGAAATGACAGAATGGTGGAGTTTGGAGGAGACCTTAAAGCCCACCCAGTTCCAACCCCCTGCCATGGGCTGCTTGCTGCCCCCCAGCTCAGGCTGCCCAGGGCCTTATCCAACCTGGCCTTGGGCACCTCCAGGGATGGGGCACCCATAGCTCTCTGGACAGCTGTTCCAGTGCCTCACCATCCTGAGTAAATCCTTCTGTATGAAGACCAGGTGGCTTGGAATTGGGAAAAACATTGACAGTATATGTTTTGAAGTGTTAAGATCATCTGCTCTCATCATAGAGGTGTACTGGAAATAATTACATGAGGGTGCAATAAGCAGACTCCTTCCGGGGAGACCTCACTGTGGCCTTCCAGCACTTGAAGGGAGCATATAAACAGAAAATGGGACGGCTGTTTAAGAGGATGGATAATGATAGAACAAGAGGGAATGGTCTTAAACTGAGACAAGGGTGGTTTAGGTTGGATATTAGGAGGAAGTTTTTCACACAGAGGGTGGTGACACAGTGGAACAGGTTGCCCAAGGAGGCTGTGGATGCCCCATCCCTGGAGGCATTCAAGGCCAGGCTGGATGTGGCTCTGGGCAGCCTGGTCTGCTGGTTGGCAACCCTGCACGCAGCAGAGAGGTTGAAACTGGATGAGCATTGTGATCCTTTTCAACCCAGGCCATTCTATGATTCCATGATTCCATGACTCGTGCCTGGTGTGTCACCCGTGCACCCCTGGAGCACCTCTCTCTCCAGCTGAGCCATCTGTCTGTGAAGGGAAAGCCTGGGAAATACCACCACTGTAGTAATTAACTCCAGAGTCCTTCAGACAAACCTCCATCATCAGTTCTCCACATATTTCCTCCTGGTTTTGGGAAGAGGTTTTGGCTGAAACCTATACCTGGTGCCATGAAGACTTCTTCCACACTTCCAAGTGTGTCTTACTCCAAATCTACATCTACTGTGTGATTTGTACTGGGATTAGTCTTAACCCTATCACATTCATTCACTGGTGATGGCAATGTCCATTGCAGGAGCCATGCTAACGAAGCTCAGCCTGAAACTTCTGCCATTGCACCTATAAGGTCCTTGTGAATGAAAGTGGATGAGAAAAAAGGCACGCAGTTATTCATAGCCCCTCCCTCAATGTGCTTCACACAGAGACAACCCCATCTTACAGATGCCTTGTGTCCTGGATGTCCCATAACTTTTGAAGTTCACTTAAGTATGCAGAAGGTTTTCATATCCCATTGAGCTTTATTAAGCTTTTAAATATAAATTATATAAATATATATATATATTTGAAAAATTGACTGAAAGAAACAGGAGAGTGAGAGAAAAACAAAACATATATTTAATTAGAAGCTGTATAATAAAAATACTATTTTAGTAATATCTAATCTCTAGAGCAGTAGGACATGTATCATGCATACCAGGGATATCTAAGTGGAATTAAAATATTCTTCTACTGCATTTTCCCCCGAACTTTTTCATTCCCCGAGTTTTTAAATGCAACATTTCATCCTCGTTTCCTACAGGGATGTTTTCACCAGGTGTGAGTAGACTGGGTACATCCCTTAGGAAGGCCATCGCCTTGGACTCCCTCTGCACCTGTCGGGGCAGAGACCTGGGCTCAAGTCAAACCCATCCAAAGGGTTTTGTATGGTCACAAGCACAGTGTGAGCAGGGGAGATTCTTCCAGTTGTCATATTTGCCCCTTCAACTTAGTGTTCCTTAGCTCCTACATTTTTGTGTTCAGGTTAATGGAGAGCACTCTGCTTGGTTGGCTGGAGCTGGGTTGCTCCTGGTCAAGTCAGGAGAAGTATTTTCAAACAGACAGGGAAGAAAAGGGATGCACCTCTTCTGATGAGAAACGCATTGCAAACACTCAGTGTGCTCCCATTTTTTTTCCCTTTCTAAAATACCTGAGCTTGCCAAGGAAAGTGCTGTAAAATGAACGGCTTTTTCACTGTTTGCCTTAGTAACTTCAGTAGCCCAGGAAGCCGATGTGACTTAGGAAAGGTACTCTGAAATGAGCCATCTGGTTTTGGCACACAGGCACAAGTCTTAGGAAGAAAAACTATTGCCGAGGTCTATTTATCAATAAAATATTTAATAAACTTATCTGTACAAAATATTAAAAAGGTTATTGAAGAGTATACAAGAATACTTATTTAACAAATATATACTGCTATATAATATATTCAAGAAAATATAGATTGCTGTTTACAGTTCATTTACAATCCAATATGTACAATCCATTTAAACTTTAGAATACATACAAACAATGCATTTACACCATCACTTACAGAGCTATCTTCTCAGAGATACTTCACGCTCAGACCTGACAAAGCTGAACAAATACATGGAAAGGTTAGAGGCACACACAGGGATACAAGTATTGCTTCAAAAAAATTAACTACTACAGATACGGCTATTGGAAACTTGAGTCCTTTTTCATTTACTGATATTTTCCTTTCTAACCAAAGAAAATAAGACATAAATAAAACCATGACTGACCAGCAGAGAGGCTCATTTTGTCATAAAAAGAGCTCCAGATAGTCTTCACTTCAGAAAAAGAACGGGCAAGGGTAGGATACGTGCTAGTTTAGCAGACTGGATAAACAAGGACTGACATTGCCCCAGGCTGCATCTAAGCTGGGGAGCACCACAAATAGAGCAGCTCTTCCATGCACAGAAAGGCCTTTGGAGTCAGGCCCCCAAACCACAGGGCCAAGAGCTTGATTTACAAAGGTACGGCACTTCAGATGCTCAGATCTTTCTTTTATGCATTATTTAATCCTACAGGTTAACCTACTGACAGCACATGGGGTGAATTAAACCTGCATGATCACCTTTTCCTGCCCAAAGAAGATGCCCCACTCTCAGTTGATCACAGCCAACTGGACCATGTCTCTTCAGCACCTCCTCAATGACCAGAGCCTGGTGCCATCTCTTCTCCTGCCCCATGGAAGTTCTCTAACACCTCACAGCTCTCAGCCCAGCCAGTGTGAGTTCTCAGCCCTCAGCTGGGGCTCTTGGTCTTTTCCTCCTGCTCCCCTCCTCTCTCTTCTCAGGGATGTGGTTATTGGGCAATATTGATGGTAGGTGAACAGTTGGACTAACTGATCTTAAAGATCTTTTCCAACCATAATGATTCTTCAAGGTAGGGCTGTGGGAGCAGAAAAGGTTCTGTGTGGAACAGCACTATGGAGAACACAGCCATCTCTCCCCATAGCCAAGATCAAAGCCAATTCCACAGCACCCAGAGTGGCCAGGCCCTAACCAGCTCCATATTTCCATTATTGCTCTGCTAATGAAGACATCGGTGGAGGTTCATAACACAGCATAGCAGTGAGAAGACCCAAATGCTTCCATCTGCTATTGGGAAAACACTTGAATGTGTGAGCAGGACCTCTACTCTCTCCACCATGAGTCCAGCCAGACCCACAGCCTGGTGGGTCCATGTCTGCAACTCATGCTGGTAGGCCTCAGCCTCCAGAAACAGGCTGCCCAGAGAAGCTGTAAGTGCTCCCTGGAGGTGTTCAAGATCAGGTTGGATGGGGCCCTGGGCGGCCTGATCTGGTGGGGCACAATCAGCCCACATCAGTGTAACTGGATGGGCTTTAAGCTGTCCCTCAACCTAAGCCATTCTACAATACGATATGATTCCTCTCCCCACTTGTTCTCCATTTCCCAGCCACCACAAATCTCAGTGCTCCTTATCTGAGTCAGAATGAACCCTCAAGGCCATCTAGTCCAACTCCCCTGCAATGAACAGAGACACCTACAGCTTGATCAGGTGCTCAGAGCCCTGTCCAGCCTGACCTTGAGTGTCTCCAGGGATGGGGCATCCACCACCT